TGGATTCTGGTGCCTAGAGATGTCAACTTAAATTATGAAACCAATTTCAGAATTCTAACTACACGGCAACTGGGCTAATATAATACAATATCATTTAGCCCAATATTAGAGTCCACAAAAAAGGGATAAAAATATTTTAATTGTTGTAATTTTCACAAAATGCAAGACTAGTGTTTGCAAAGGAACTAACAATTAATCACCAGTTTTATGTTCGGGAAACAAATAAAAGGAACATTCGTTTGTAATAAAACCCGTTAATTAATAATATCGAGTTTAAGAAACTTAAATTCTTTAGGTTTATCAGACCATTTAAGTCTGTATATTTATTTAAAATTTTATAAATGTTAATGTTAAAAATACATTAAAATAATTACATAGAAGAATTAATTTAGTAAATAATTGTAAAATGTTATAAGTATGCTTTTATTATGAAATACGAGTTATCCCGTTTATCCCAAATGTTACTCAATCTATTTAATTATACATGTTAATTTTGATTCATTTATAACAAATTACAGTTTAATAAGTATTTAATATCAGATTTTTTAATAAACATAAATTAATATATTTTAACAAATACATTGTATTAATATTCATAATAATTATATTTATTACAAATATTTAAGTAGTTGCTTATAAATGTTTATTAACCAAGCAAATATTTGTGCCACAAATGAAAACATTCATACTTATATCCGGCGCTAAAAGCACTGCCACTGAAATACCTCTTTGTAAACTCAAAGTACGGATTAATTATATCCATGCGTTTAGTCGTGTAATAGCTCTGCCACTCCACCCCCTCTTGGGGACCCGGATTACTGTTAACACAAACAAATCAATTACTCAATATGAAAACACCTTGATCATTAACCAAATAATTACCCATATCTGGCAAAATGGGCCACAGTTTCCATGAAACTCAGTGACACTCGGCGCTCATTTAACACCTGACCATCAGTCACGCCATCCGTCGCATGACTGGCCCGGAAAGGGTCGCCAAACATAAAGCCTACGTCCAATCCCGGGTCCGACCCGTGCCATGTGTTGCTGTCGTACTTCACTGACCATAAGTATTGATACACTTGCGTTACATTAGTGTCTCCGCCGGCGGCCACACCCCTGGCAAACAAAATGGTGGGACAGGCGGTTAAATAGTCGCCCAGCGCTCGGCCAACCGCTTGACGTATAGCCGGATAGTCGTTGTCGGCGTACTGTTGAACGTATAACCGATAGACGTCGTCGGCGTCGACGCCCAGTGCCGGGAAAAAGCGACCAAAAATGTTGGCCAACTCGAGTCGAACCTCGGATTTGGTCAGATTGTGTCCGTTTGTCGGCGAATATTTCTGTGCGTTTACTATAGCGCTCAATACGTGGGAACCTTCGTCCGCTACATTTAATTTAAAAATATGGTAAATTATATGCAGTAAATATAATATACTATTGACAATAGTCTATTGTATAAATAAATATTTTTAATTATAATATATTAATTAACCAAAATTGTACATTACAAAAACTCAGGATTCCTTAATTCTTAATAAATTATATTATTATTCCAGTAATAAAATACCAATTCAATTTTAAACATGAGTTTAATTTATAAATGATAATGTTAAATAAATATTTAGGTGGAGTTTGTAAAACTAATTTATTTTATAATCATTTTTATTTACTATCGTAATTGGTGTGGATTTCCAATAACAAATATTTTCATTTCAAACTATTATATAAATTAATAACATGATACATTAGTACAGTTTCTGCATAGTATTTAATAATAAAATTTTATAATAAAATATTATTAATGTAAAGTCTATAGTCAATTAATATCAATATTTATTATAATTATAATTATCCATTTTTGGCCAAACATAATTGACATTGAAAAAATTTAACTACTTATAATTACACGTAATATTACTTACCGGATGTGCCAACCAATAGATGTACAGACTTTTTAAAATCACCCAATCGTATCATTTCTGTCGGACTTTTGGGCAAAAACTGGTCGCCATATATGACATACGGCTTAACGACATTGACATCAGTTTTGTAGCGCTTATCAAACGTGGATTCAATCAAATTCTGACCGTTTATGGCCCGCAAACACTCCACCGATCGGTTGGCCCTGAATTGTGTTTCGCACCCGTTGTCCGCCGCCACCGACGCCCACATCTCAAACGCCCGGTCCTTATGCATGAATGCGTCCGATAGGGTGAGAGAGAGAGAGAGAGAGAGAGAAGATAATTTTTATCAAATAAAATTATAATGAAAGTTATTGTTTTTTACTTAAAATACAATACCTTACAAATCAATGACGTAATAAGTATTGAACAATATTTAGGTGCAGTATGCTCTTTATGCTATGTATTTGATACTAAATTGTACCTATTAATTTACATAATAAATAATTATTAAACAATTAATATAAGTAATCAAACTTACAAACATAAAATATAACGTAAAGTAACTAAAATAAACAAATTTAAGTAAATATAACAAATTAAATTTTTATTGCATATACGAGTGTTGCCTTAAGTTCCATATATAAAATAATTTTAATCAATGTCGGATGTTTTGTTTAAATGTTAATAAAATAACAGTTTGTTAAAATAATCATAATAGTACTGTAAATGGTACAATAATTGAGAGCAAACAACCTTAGCCAGTTGCTAAAGATTTTTAGGATAATATTTATTATTATATTCTAAACTATAAATTAAGTTTGTTTAAATTTTATCATAATGCTTTAAAAATTTAACATCATGAATTGGAGAATAAAATCTTTGCTATTTATTAAAACAAAAATTGTGCACATGGAATTTTTATAATAATTATTATAATAACTATAATAAGTTTTAATTAAATATTTTTAGAACTATATTACTTACTTTAACCTACTTTAATTTAAATTATGGAATACAGTATATTAAATAAAGTTATTTTCTTGAGCAGGTTGGATTTGCAAAAAAATTATTAGTGTTTATTACTACAACAGGACAGATGTGCGCTTTCATTAATACTTCATCGCAATTATGATAACCACCAAGTTTATTTTAGAGAGCAGAATAAACTGTGCACTGAAAATTCTGTATGATCATTTTTAATCAGATCGCACAACTAGGATCTAGTATAAAAGCACCTGTACAAATGCAACCTGGCACATTTTGCAGTACACAGTAACCTTAATTAACGACCACAATGAAACTGTTGTTGCTAACGGCGCTGGTATGCGGCCAGGCGTTGCTGACCGTAGCCAAGCCTAAGGTGATCTGCTATTGGCCCAACTGGCGGGTGGACTCGGGCGGTGACGACCGACACGTGCCCGAAAACATTGACCCAACCCTTTGTACGCACATTCACCACGCGTTTCACGTGTACGACCAGCAGCACAACGTCGTGCGCGACAGCGCCGGCCCTCAGCCCGACCTCTACCGTCGACTCCATGCGTTGAAAAGCAAGAATCCAGACGTGAAAATCATTGTGTCGATGGGAGGGTGGGGTCAGCCCGACGCCCAGTACTCGCATTTGGTGGCCGACGAGGGCCTGAGACTGGGGTTCATCAAAAACACGATCGCCTATTTGCATAAATACCAATTCGATGGCCTGGATATCGATTGGGAGTTTCCCGTGTGCTGGGCTGCCGACTGCAATAAGGGCCCCAAAGCCGACAAGCCCAACTTTGCCACTTTGCTCAGGGTACGTTGTATTTGATTTGTATTTTTAATTTGGTTTTAATTATTAATATTAATTTGTAATTAAAAAACAACAGGAATTAAGGAAAGCGTTTGATAAGGAAAACCCCAGACTCTCGTTGTCGGCAGCGCTCGGCTCCACAGAGGATATCGCACAACAGGCCTATGATTTCAATGCACTCGCGCAGTATGTTTGCAATATATATCGCATGATATATAAACTATTTAAATAACTTATCACAAATAATTGATTTTAAAAATTTGTCATAATTAACCTAGAACCCTGGACTACGCCAGCATCATGACGTACGACTGGGCCGGGCCGTGGGAGGGCAAAACTGACCATCACTCTAAGTACCAGCAATGTATCAACATGGCCAATTGGTTTGCCAGCAAAGGCCTGCCCAAAGACAAGATCTGTATGGGAGTGCCATTCTATGGCCATACGTTTAATTTGAAAAATGCGGGCCAACACTGGATGGGCGCTCCCATTACCGGCTCAGGTAAGACACCGCACGGCGAGGGCGACAACGCCTGGTATCGGGAAATGTGTGATTTGGTTAAGAATAAGGGTTGGACTAAGGAAGACCCGGATCAGGGACACGACCCAATCTCATACCACGGCACCACTTGGGTCGGCTATGACGACCCATACCAAGCCTACGAGTGAGTGTTGAATTTTGTTTACAGAATATTAAAAATATAATTTTGAAGAAAGCTAGACCAAAAATTGATATCACTTTATCATGATTATATTGTTTTAAATGCAATATGTACAGTGTTTAAGCTGTTTATTGGCAAATTAAATTAATAGAAAAATTATTTTTCTAGTATTAATAAATAAATATTCAAAAATTAGCTTACAAATATTACAAATATAATTATTGTTAACTCTTCGTTTACTACCAATAGTTAGAATTTATTTGTCATTATTATATACTTTGTCAAAATATTATAAAAATGTACAGTCTCTATTTTTAATTTTTTTTTAAATATTTCAAACATGAGATTAAATTGAGACACTTTATTTATATAATTTACTATGATTGTTTCAAAACAGCGAGTCTTAAAGTGATTTTTTAAAAAACAATCTAATATACAGTTGTATTAATTTTAATAGAATATTTGTAAGATTTGCAATTTTCATCCTAATACCACTATGAATTATTATTTTAATTAAAAAAAATCACATTTGTAAAAATTATATTTTTAAATTCATTCAATGTACTTTTATTTATTTATTAGCAAAAGTAAATGGGTAAAAGACAATGGCTTTGGTGGTATAATCGTATGGGAAATTACACAGGATGATTTCCATCCCAAGTGCTGCTCAGTTGCCTATCCTATGCTGCGGGCAATTAACCATGGTTTATATGGCACCGGACAGGGACCCGAGACTTATGGCTGCGAACATAAATAAATTATTCATGGTGAATTTATTAAAATAAAAATTTATAATTTTATTTTTATATCAAATTTGAAATTTGCATATTATAAATATTAAAAATATTATTCAAGTTGTGAGTGATTTGTCTAAAAATAATTATCCAAATCAAATGTATGGACACAGAAGAGACCGTCGATGAATATGTTATGGTTTTGTCACATTACTGTATATAAAGATTTATACATTAATTTTAAACATTTAGAAATGGTTAAAAAGCAGTAATAAAATTAGTTTAGTAAACAATTATAAAATGTCATATTATTTTAGCAAAATACATATTTAATAAGTAGATATTTTTTACAATTGATAATAAATTATTATTGTAAGTTTTAATTGTATATTATAATTTAGATTTTTACCATTTAATTATGACTTACAATTAGATTAGCAAATATTTAATTTTTACATACCTGGCAAACAATATGGTGGGACAGGCGGTCACTATTAACAAGTAAATCCGAGTCTACTATTGTATACAATATCACTATTCTGTACAATGTACCTGAGCCTATGCGATAGTTATATTAATTATACACTTTATTATAAATAACATTACTTTTAAATTAATGAGTAAATAAAAACTCACATTTTTATGTTTGTCAGACTATTTTAAAGTGTGTATATTTATTTTAAATATTTTGACACATTATAAAAATACATTAAAATAATTACATTATAATAATTAATTAAGTAAATAATTGTAAAATGTTATAAATACAATTTTATCATGAAATTAGTCACAATCTATCGTTATCCAAATTTTAATTAATTAATTAAACCATAAATGTTAGTTTAGACTTATTTATAGCATATTACAGTTTAATATCAGATCTTTTAATAAACTTAAATTAATATATTGTACTAATAATTTTGTTAATTATATGTACTACAAACATTTAAGTATTGATAGTTATACTTATAAATTATCAAGTTTATTTAATAAACAGACATTTGTGCCACAAATGAAAACATTCATCATTATAAATTTAGAAAAAGCTAATCTAAAAATTGATATCAATTTATCATGATTATATTGTTTTAAACAATTAACGCAATATCGTATGTACAATGTTGCTTATTGACAAATTTAATTAATTTAATTTAATTAGGTAATAGGAAAATTATTTTTCTATTATTAATAACAAAATATTTAAAAATTAGCTTTCAAATATTAAAAATATAATTATTGTCGACCTCTTTTTTGATTCTAATAGTTAGGATTTATTTGTCATTATTATATACTTTGTTGATATATTATAAAAATATACAATCTCAATTTTTTTAAAATAATTTTTAATAATATTTTAATCATGAGATTAAATAGAGACACTTTATTCATATAATTTACTATAATGGTTTCAAAACTATGCTATTAGATTAAACAAGACAGAGACCCGAGACTTATGGCTACGAACATAAATAAATTATTCATGTTAAATTTATTAAAATAACTAAAAGTTGCATATTATTGGGCTAAATGATAATGTATTATATTAGCCCAGTTGCCGTGTAGCTAGAATCTTGGAATTGGTCTCATTGTTTAGGCCCACATTCCTAGGCACCAGAATCCGAGTTTCATCAA